AACGATCGATTTTTAGTAGTACATCTGCTAATACTTTTTAAAATCAAATCAGATCAAATTGAATTTTCAATAAAGATTGACATTGATAAGGCTTGCAACGTAGATCACAGTCATATGATTAAAATTCATTATTAATTGGAATTTAATTTTATAAGATTGATTCCTTGAAGTCATGTACTAGAAATGTTTCTTCAAATGCTTCATCAAAAGTGTTGTTCATATACTATTACGTTATGATTAACAATTGACTTCAGTCATATGTCTATGATCTACATTTCAAGCCCAGCCGATCTGGATTATCAATATCCGATTGCACGAAAAACCAATTTTGCTAAACATCCTATGGTCGCCTTCAGAGTTAGAGGAAATTCGAACATTTTTTTTGCTTTTCCAAGAGAGATGTCTATGCTATTGTATTCAAGATGAAGTTATAATCTCTTCGAAATGGAAATTCTCATAAATCAACGAAATTGAAAACCGTCCGAGGTCGTTTTCCTTGAAGATATTTATTTGACTACAGATATTATGAGCTTCATATCATTTCGAAGGTAAACTTCCTTTTTCCAATATGTTTTTTACCATTTTGTATATAAATCACAAGTTACATAACATATAAAAAAAATTCAATTTAGTCTGATGTGATTTCAAAGAGTGTTAGCAGATATACTACCAAAAATTGCCTGTTATAGACTAATAAATTGTGTCATTTTTCATTCATGTTGATCTCTACAATTTCAGTAAATAGGTCATATAAAATATTTTATATAGCTCACTTTTTTCAGCTCTAGATACTTCATCTTTGGGTGCATTACATGGAAACAATTTTACAATTCGCTAAAATCATTATAATCCTAGTAGACATTTATGGGACATATTAAGACTAATGTCTTGATAGCAGGTAAATAGTATTGAAATGTCAGTAAAGACTAACTTTTCTTTAGAATATCCATAGGAGCTAAAAATTTGGGTTTAATAGTTTTCGGTGATAAAATTTCGGATGCGCATAATAAATCAAAAACTTAAATAGTGAACCAATGTTTCAATTTTCTGTTTTTCTGATGAATTATCTCTGTAAAGCATTTACCTTAAATATTCATATTTAAATGTCCATCTAAAAGTAGAATATGTTTAAGTAAGTAAAGAAAGACAATACTAGCGCGAATGCTACAATTTCTTCTAGATGCTATAAATTCATTTCATTTCGATTTTAGTCTAATCGTTCAAATGTAGAATGGAAATTTTCAATTGTATTATATGAATTTATTAATTCTACTTTCTTCAGAAAAAAAAAATTAAAATCATTTTTAGTCTTATTCCACTATCAATAATACTTTTTTAAAATTCGAATCATAATGAATTTAAGATTTGTGATAGATACTACAAATATATGTGTCCTCTTCGATAATTTATTTAAAAAAATAAATAAACATGTTGAATGCCTACGTAAAGGAAGAAAGACAGATTTAACATAAAATCAACAATAGGAAACATGTGTTTTGTATAAGTATCTAAGATAATAATATAATATTATCTTTGAGAAAGAAACATCTAATACTTGACAACTGAATAGATTGAAATATTCAGGGAAATAAATGAGTTCATTATCTTCCAGAATATAGAATAATCAAGAATAAATTGATCTTCGATACTTTCAAGCCTGTTCTTGTATCCTGAATAAGAAAAGAAAAATTAATCTGCGAGTGTTGATTATATAGTTATAGCAGACAAATAAGAAATATAATGGAAATAGTTAAGTAGATTATACAAAGGTGTCGATAATAATAATAAAAAACAAATCTACCGAAATGAAATATATCAAGTGTAAGATCAAAGTAACCATATTCACTACTGATAAATATCTATATTTTATAAGACAATAAGTGAGATTTTATTGTTTCAATTCGATTATTAATTTAGTTAGAATATAATTAGTAAATGAAATTCTTTAAATTTCGATAAAAATTCATTTTAATTTGTAATCATATCATTTCAATATAAAGTTAATCAACGATAAAACTAATTGATATGTATAGAATAAAACTCTGTTCTAGGAAAGAAAAAAAAAAGATTTTTATTATCAACATACATCAAATTATTACATATGAAGAATACTATAAAAAAAAAGAAAGCACTTTCCATAAAAGTCATGTTGTGCAAAAGACAAAGTATCCATTAACGTAATACTGATCCAATATAATCCTGTAAAAAAAAGACAACTGATGCGTTTAAATTTACACAAATATATTTCGTCTTGTTGTTTTTTCTTTTGAAGTTCAAGTGTATTTTATCGAATCTATATCAACCATTGAGACTATGTAAAAGGCATTTAGAACTCAAAAGGACTAATCAAAGCACTGTATCATTTGATATATCTTTTTAATATATTTATTAAATTCTTAAATTAAAGCACATTGAGATCCATTGCATTCTCCTACATGCATAGAAAACTTTTGTATTTCAAGTAATTTTTGTCCTTGTTCTTACATACATTTTTTTGAGATAGAAGAAATAAAAAAATAAGTTCTGTGTCATAAAAATAACTATGCAATATTTGATAATAAAATAATCATGAGTATTAAATAATAATATTTATTCATCAAATATTTTTAGTCAAAACAGAATGCACTAAGACAAATAAACATGAGTGACTATGAAAATAAATCATAATTATAAAAACAAAATAATATTTGTTAGTCGTTTTAGTAGAAAATTTTTAAATCAGTTTTCTATTGTATTTTCAAGTGATTACGCATGATAGATTCCATGAGTCTTATCTTTTTATGCGAATGTAAATAGAGTTTTTTTTTTTAAATAGCATATTATATTAAATAACAAAATAAAAAAAAACGTATTCATGATCTTTCTGGCTGGAACAACAGGAAAAAAAAATTTATTATTAAATAGATAAAAATTTTATTCTACGATTATCTTTTGTTTTTTGTCTAATGTTCCTAGAAATTAAATTACCACCAGCAAATAAGGCTTTTATTAATGAAAATATATTTCATTATTCATTTGATATAACATTATATGAATAAATCTAGTCATTATAAGCATACTTATTGAATTATGACAAATAGAAATATATTTTCATATGACTAAATTCCCTGGAAAGTCTTTTTGTCATATTTTTTCCTCGGTAATAATGTATGATGAATGATAGCTTTTTTCTTTTAATCGTTTGCATTTTTCTCTATACGCCTTCTTCTAATATCTATCTGCATTTCTTTTTCGTCATTCTAGAATGTATGCAAATTTGATGTGATTTGTTTCGAAGGATTCGTATAAAATAGAATGATTTTGAATAAATTTTATTGCTTTCAATTGAATCTTATTGTTTTAACTCTTGTTATTTCCGCTATAATTCTTATGCGTTCAATATTATTTTCTATAAATATATATAACTAATGTTTGTAGGTTATACTCAAACAACAGAATCCAATGACGTTAATAAAGAATGCATGCATAATAGCTTATCATCATATGTAATGGAAAAAAAGCAAGAAAATTTCTATTAACAACGAGAAATAGAATACTGATGATTGTCCTTAAGCTATTTTCTATAAAAATGAAATCTAAGGAATAAGCTGGTTTCATATGATCATTTTTGTTTTTGGCACGTACGTTTATACTCCGAGAAAAAGTTCATTGATGATCATAAATAATTGATCATTCAATCGTATGTGATAAGTTCGTTGTTGGCTTCATCTACTTATTTATTCGTTCATAAAGTTGACTGTTATTCTTCATATACTTGACAACTCTTTCTCTGAACTGAATGCCTTACAGATTTTGTTTTTTTGTTTTTTTCTTCCATATATGAATTATCAATTGGGTTATCTGATCTCTTATGTCTGGCTAAGCCTACTTGATGACGCGATGTTTTAACCAAGTAGATAGATAGATAGATAGATAGATTTATATAGAAGAGAACAAAAGAATAAACTCTCGAAATTTTTTTAGTTGATTTTAATAGTTGATCAAACTTTCAACATAGAATAATGTGTTGTATTTTATAAGTAATGAGTGAAATGTTGGAAAATAAGAACTAAGAGAAAGAACAGAAGAATGACATGTAATATTTCATCAGAGGTCGTTTTTTTTTCTATGTAATTATCGGTAACTTTTTTCCTATGTCTAATTGCTAGCAAGTGAAAAAACGGAAAATATACATCCATATTCACGCCCATAAAAATGCACACGTTCGAGGGTATCTATCTAACCTATAATTCTATCATCATTGACGAGGCGGTAGTTTTTCTTTTTCTGTCTATCCTATCTTTTATGTTTACTTCGCCTTTCTTTATGAAAAATACACGAGAAAAATATATTTAAAGATTGACAGAAGATTTTTTACTTTTGTCAACTGTTTTTAGTTGTATTAATCGTGTTGTCACTCAATGTTAATACAGAGATAAATGAGTATTGCGATTATATATATACATATAACAATGTGTATGTTAATATCTGTAACGTAGTTCTTTGAAGATATGATCTATTGTAATTTAATCCAAAACAATCTTTAATTTCTTTCTTTTGAATCAGTTTTGATTCGACTAAAATAAAATAATACTCGAGCTAATACTTTTTTCTTTCCTATAAATAGAAAATGCAAAAGAAATGGAGTTTAGATGAATAAAAGACAAGAAAAAAGAAACGTGCATAAGAAGAATTTTTTTATTATCAATTGAGAAGTAGTTCAAAAAACGAGTTTGTTTGTTTTTGTCTTGTGGTCTTTTTATTATATCTATGTTTTTCTTAATATTCTCTTCAATATAGATTTACATGTACATTATTGTCACATTCAGAGCTTGAAAAAAAATTCTTTTGAGGAAGAAAACTAATTATCATCCATGACATGCTGCGCATTTCTTTTTGCATTTGAATAGTAATCATCAAATATAATAATTTGACCACCTTTTTAGACTAAATGTTGTCTAATGATGAAATTACAAAAGAAAAATGGATATAAAATATTTATTTAATTTAAACCAATAAACATGGATGTAATTAATAAAACAAAATTATCAAATATGATTATAAGTCCATCATTTACATGGTGTTTTTTAATGCCATCAATACATTTATTAAGTTTAATGTCAAATATACTTTGTATAATTGTTTTTTGTTCAAATGTATTTATTAAAAAACCAATAGCTATTTATTTTATTTGTCTATTAATAAGTGATTCAATAACATTATTAATTGGTTACATTGAAATGATCGATCGAGAATCAAATATGATTGATAAATCTTCATGGTTATGCATGTTCAATGAAAAAATTATACATAAATTAACAGATTTTATTTATACATTTATGGGACGATTTTGTCTTGAATGGTTTTTATATAAAGTTTTATGGACGCGTGCATCAACAATTTTACTTGCTATATTAAGTGTACAACGATCAAGAACATTTTTTTCATTATCTTATCATGAATCACGTTTATATGCATTTCTTGCATGTATATTTAGTATTATTATGGCTGTAACAATAACATGTTTAGAATGGATTGGTGTACATTATGACAAAGTTAATGATTCAAATCTTTATGTAGAAATTTTTCAATCGATTATTAATACGCAATCATCACAAGAGTTTTATTCAACAGTTTTTTATCGAGATTATAATGAATCAATGACTAATTATCGATGTATAGTTGAATCATTTAATGTAACATCTTTTCCTGGTCTAACTCATCAGGTAATTTCTTTTTTTTTCTTTAAAATTATTAGCTAACAGAAAAAATCAATGATATTTTCTATTAGATTGCTTTACAAAAAAAATTTTTGATTAATTACTTATAGAATTCAGTTTGAATTATATATAAATAGTAGTGAAACCAAAGTTCTTGTTTTACCTTGTTGATTGCTAATAATTTCTACTTTTGGAAATACATGCTTAAAGAAATGATTAAATATTAATATATATTTCCGCAATAGACATAATAACTGAAACATCATCATCATGTACAATGATGCTTTTATTAAGGTGCAAGGCAAAAAGGAAGACCTTTTCCTGTTACCTATTTAAATAAAAGAGAAAATTCTATTGAATGAGATTTCTTGTCGTAATTTACTTCTAAAATTATAACATTCATTTTAATTTTAGCGATAATATAGGGGCTTTCATTTTGTAGAAGAATAAAAGAATTTCTGTTTGAATATTCATACGAAAAATAAATTATACTGTTGGTATAAAGCAGGTGAATAAGTGCAAAAAAAAACCTATTTATAATAGTATCATTAACAATAAAAAAAAAAAAGGAATTTAGACTTACGATAATTATATTGGGTTTTTTAAGCAAGATCATTAATAATAGGAAAACATGCAGTGAGAAAAAAAATGAAATCATCAAGTAGACTCCAGATATAAAAATATCTAGTATATTAAATTACTATGAAAGATTAAAAGCATGCAAGTAATATAAGAATGTGTTTCCTTTCTTTTTCAAGCATTTCAGAAAAGAAAATATATACTGCTCTTCGAAAGATCTTTAATATATCTAAAATTTCTATCAAAATTTAATGAAAAATTGTTTAAAAAAAGCAACGGATGATCTAGATAAATTTTACTGAAGGAAGAAAAAAAAAAAGAAACTTTGTACTTCAACAATTGAACTATGATTATATACAAGTAACATCGAACCAATTTAGCTTGCAGAAAAGAACTATTATTTGTTTTTTACTTTTTAAAGGCAATATGGTTTTTATCATATGAATTATTTTCATTTTTTGCCTTTTGTGCAATAATTAATTATTGTTAAGAGAACTTACAAAAATATTAGTCCTCAGGCAAAACATCATAATGATTGTGTTGTGTTTTGCATTAATTTGAAAATAAACAGAATTATATAAATCATTAATTAAGATGAATAAGTCCATAAAAAAATTAATCACAGAAAGGAAATTTATGTTGTTTAATATATATTATCCTTGGTCTATCTGTTTTAGAATAAAAAAATCTTTGTAATTACGTCCTAGAACCTCGATTTATATGTCAATTGATGAAATGTGTTTATGTTAATTTTGTTTTTAATGAAGACTGATATTTGTTAATTCATCTTACAAAAAAAAAAATTAATTTTATATAGTGCCCATAGAAATTTCATTAGTTTTAGATTAACGGAACACTTTGAAATATAATTTTGGGGGTAAAAGGATGCCTCGGAAGAAGACATGACTTTCCAGTCAAGCTCTTTGTATTTTATAAATTAATTAATTAAAAATCCATTTACCTTGCTGGAAAAAGAACTAATTCATAATAATAATATCAAGTTCGCTTTAATGTTAAAAATTTTTCTTTGAGTTATTTCAAAAACTAATATCATTTAATACGAATATGAAAACAGAATAAATATTCTATCGATTTGCTTTTCAAATGAAATGTTCTTCTTTATATATGAAAAAAAAAATTAAGAAAAAAATGTTTTAAAAAGATGTAGTTTAGATGTATTGTGTGAGATTCATTTTCTTTTTATAAGTTTTTCTGCATGACACAACTTAGTAGGAAGAAGATAAATCGGTAGAACTCTTTTCTTGACAAGTTTATTATAAAGTACATTGTATTTGTGTCAAACTCTTAAGTTCACTCTTTTTAATTGTTATGTGACGAACATATTCAAACAATCTATGATAATGAAGTATCTGATAAAATAAAAAGATCAAATGCATTGTTCTATCCTGGTTTTCTCCTGTTCGAATTATATATTGAAACATTAGAAAAACATTACCGTCTCAACCGTTCTACGGAATAGCACATTGTTCAAATAATTCTGATTAAAATACAATAAACATCCGGCATCTCTCATTAACGTTCTCACAAACTCAATATTCCGAATATGTGATAATCATTTGGAAAACAGAAATTTTTCATCAAATTATATTTTCATAATTACAAATATAAAGTTTCTACTAATTTGAAGGAAAAAATAATGAACTTATATTAGAGTATAAATATTTATCTGAAATTAGTTATAGTATATGATTAAATAAAGAATTAAAAGAAATATAATACGATTTATTACTAACTCATTAAATGGTACAACCGAGAACATGATTGACACATTTTTTTAAAGATAACTTTTACAATAATAAGTATATTGACTTTGAAATATATATAAATAAAGAAAGAAAAGATTTTGTCAATTAAGCAATGATGACACTCTAAAAGATCTTATTCTATTAATTTAAATCCATAATTTGCATTTTTCTTTTCAACAAACGTTATTTAGTTTCTATTTAGAGAAAATTGTAAAATATCACGCTAACAAAATAGAACAAGTTGAAGAGTATTGTGCAGTGACATGTTCTATGCGCGTACCACTAATAAGCATCTATAGAAAATAGATGAAAACATTCATTATAACGCATATTAGGCTAATGATCACTACTATCAATAGTACTAGAATAGTTTGCCTAAAGGAAAACTATTTTCTTTAGATTTTATCATCATTATTAAGACGTTATCAATTGATGTACTGTACCAAATAAAATAAAAAAAAAGAAGATTAAAAAAAGGTCATTTAGTATCCTATATTCAAATGCATATATCAGTATCAAAATAGCGATAGAATTCTAAATGAATAGAATTTTTCACAAATTCGTTGTTACTCATAAAATAGATAATACTATTCAAAATATAGACTTTTTTTTTCACATCATTTGTTTTCTATTTTTACAAATTAGTAAATACATGTTGTCAATAGATGCCTTGTGATAAAAAGAGAATACTAATTTTAACTCATCATGTAGAAATTATATTGGTTATAACCTCTATGATAAAATGTGACAAGCAATATCTAATGATAGATTGAATAGAGTTGAAGAAATGACTGAGTTGAATATTTTTTTTTGCTTTTATTCAATAATATAATATTGATTCAAAAAAAAATATCATATCTTATAAAAAATTTTTTTAGTACAATTGTTCGTCAAATGAAATAGCATCGGAATTTCATACCTTAACTAAATCATTACTATCTAATCGTGAGGTAGAAACTACAGAGAATGTAATGAATATATTAACAAATATTATCTCTACTGATTATAATTTATCTGATAATTCAATATTAATTAAACATAAAAAAATCGCTAAATCACCTGATTTCATATTAAAATTATTTGAAAAACGTTCTTGTCAAATCGAATTAAGTTATTCATTATGGTTAAAAACATTTAATTTTCTTCATTCCGTATCATTTTCATTTAATCGTCATACATTAGCAATATTTTTTGGTAATGCATTACCATCATTTATTGTTGTTCTTGCTAATCTTTTATCAATAAAAGTAATTTATTTTTCGAAAAGTTTAAAATATTTAAAACAATCATCAAGAAAAAATCGTCGTAAACATCGTTTACAAAATGATTTACGTGCATTTCTTGTTATATTGGTTGAAAGTTTTTCAATTATAATGATATCATGGGGTATACCAATATTTTTAACAATGTATCATTGTCATACATTATATGTTGTAACTATAAGTGCATGTCCAAAAATAAAAGATTATTTAGCATTATTTCTTTTTACCGATTTATTTAATTCGTCAACAAATTGTTTATTATATTCATTATCAGGAAAATTATTTCGAACGAAATTTATTTTTATTGTTAAACGAATACTTACATGTGGACGTGGAACATTATGGAAAGTACAACAAAATTCATTAACTGCAACAAATCTACCATTCGAACGACAACCATCAAATAATCCATCAATAAATAATAATAATAATAATAATAATAATAATAATATTGATAATCAATCATCAAGACGGAGAAATTATCGTTATTCAGAAGGTTTATCGTTGTCACTAGTTGATGATCAAAACAGAAAATCAAATAATTCAATAAAACTAAAAACAACAACATATAACCAGATACGTGTACAAAATAATACTATATCTAATGATAGTTCTTTAACCACGCGTAAAGTAAGTGATGATCATCATGATGAGAAAAATTCCACAAGTGAAATTGAATTCGATATAATAAGAAAATCAAAAGATACTGAACCAAGACAAAATTCTCAATCAATAAAATTATTTTTACTTAATAAAGTACGATCATTGAGTTTTACAAATAATACAAATAACAAAGCTATTGAATTAAAACGTCCAGCAGCAACATTGACAGTAGATAAACGAAAAGTTCGAACGAAAAAAAATTTTTTCAAACCATTTACTTTAAAACGACAAGCAACAACTAATTTATCATTTTCAACATCTTCAATTACCGCTAGTAGTAGTTATGGTTCACAACGAAAATATTCACCAAATAATCATTATTCATTATCAAAATTAATATTGAATAATACAACAGATAATCGACCGATAGTTAAAGGGAGTATTTTTGAAAATTTGACAAGTTTGTAAAATATTATTTCCTGTTTTTTTTTTTTGTTTCTGTATGTTTATATGTCGTTTGTGATTAATAAATAATATATTTATTTGTATTGTTCATTACTGAAACATCATGTTCATAAAATGTATCATTTCAGAAAACAAATTTCTCAACATAATAAATAAGATAAGTTTTATTTGTTTTCTATTTTATATACTCAAAATGTATTACATAGATTAATGAAGAACAACTAAATTGATGCTATGAAATAATTTTAGTTTTATTTTAATATTCAATTTCTGTTATATCATCTTGAGCGATTTTAGTTTGCAAAAATTCACATTATATTTTAAGTCAAGGTTTTGCGGCGCCTTTGCATTCACAGCATCGAGGAAGGGGAAGGCTAACAACCATTAGATACGTTTTCCTAGCAAAAGAGAGTGGAAAGACCAGCGATGGTTGCATACGTTTCCTTAGCAAGCGAGGATAATAGACGGCAAACTCCTTTCCCAGAGTGCCTTAGGAACGAAAAAAGACATTGAATGGCATTAATAACGAGGCTCAGAGTATTCTAGAACATTCCAAATTCTGCCTCGATATTTGAACGGCTGGAATACATTTCTTAATGTTCTAAATAGTGCAGTTTTTGATTTTTTGCACAGATTAAAATTTATATTCGAGATGTCCAGGATAATGGATAGTGATACTTTGATTTATCACAGTCATCATATGATCAATATAAAAAGCCTTGTCTGATCAAGCTATAACTTGAAAAAATAATCAATATCAATATTTCTAAGCATATCACGATACATAATAGTATGATGAAACCTGATGTAGATATAATGAATATTTACAACAGACTTATGTGTCAATTAAATCAATGATTAGAATACTAATAATGGTAAATTAATAAAAAATGGAAAAATAAAAAGCGAATAGCAATAAGACAAAAAAAACTAGAACACCAGTAGAAAAAAGAAAAAATTTCTGTTTGAAATGTAGAAATAAATAAGACAGATCATTTCTTTGATGACTGATTATATTTGAAAAATAACTATAGTCTACTAGAGATTTTTCATTTGACGTATTGGATATCATCACAATGAGGCTAAAGAATATATGTCAATCTCACAGATTAGTCTCAATTAGACTGCATCGACAAGCTTTTTTTAGCATTTATTATGGTTCTTTTAACACATATTTGATTGCTGTTTCTTCGCATGAGTTAATTCAATTATTGCTATGAATAGGTATCAAAAATTATTCTGGTTTAATCTAAAAGAAAAAGAAACATTTTTATTGGCTGCTATAATATTCGAATTACAGACGACGTATAATCTATAAAGCACTGAAAAATTTAATTTGTTTCATTTATTTTCATATATAAACAAGTTTTAGAGCGTAGATATTTAAAACTAGTGTTATCAAAGCACATATTGATGAAAATATCGGTCTTCAATAAAAAATATGCTAGTATCGTGTAATTCAGTTCGCTCATGCATATTAATTGCTATACGAGTTTATATGAAAACCAAGCTTTTTTTGTTTGTAACAGTCGAAGTTTATTCAAGTATAAAGACAAAACGTTTTTTTAATCTTCGAAATGCTGCACAAGAACATCAATTCTTTGTCATTTTTGTGTTTTATTTATAAATTTTGAATATAAAACCTATACTATTACTCGCTATAACCAATGCGAATAGGAAAGTATGCTATTATAATGTTTCTATGTATTATGTCTCCATGTTTTTAAGAATTGTTAACCTTTCTAGTAGGAAATGCAAAATTTCGTATGCTTGGTATGTTTAACACCATTATTGAAGAAGATTTATCGGCTAACTCATGACAGAGATCACAATAATCAATATAAATCTAGCGATTCTCTCGTGGATTTTTTGTTAAATCCCTATTATGATCGAAGAAATAAGCTTTATAAAGTCTCTTTAAATTTCAGAAAAAATATATTAAATTGTCGTCTAAGAAACGAACTTTATTAGTCATCTTCGCTTTATTTAGTTTGATAAAACTATCATGAAATAGTTTTATAAAGAAAGATAATGATGACCGTCTATTAAATTTCTAGCGAAAAAATTTATCTAACCAAGTATATTTTTAAGAAATGGATAACCCTCCTAAATAAGCTCTTGATTAAGAAAAGTCTTATTTAATATATCGTGTTTGAGCGTATATCTTGTATGATCATGCTCTATAATTGTCAGAAGGGATTTATTTACTAAGTAAATAACACGTTTATATGAAAGGAACGCTAGAAAATTCTCTAAACTTTTTAAAGAAATTGTCTAGAAGATATTAGTCCATAATCCTTAAAACGGCAGAAAGAAAATATTATTCTCAATTGCAAGAACTACTAAACTAGAGAAATTCTAATTGACCACAACCATGAGACAAAGTTCTCTCATGTATAACGATTAATACTCTCTATTTCAAGAAGAAAAGATGTACAATAAATCTTTAAGATTACACTAGATGATCATTATGAAATCCACTATAATTCAAATTTAAATTTTAGTCATAACGAATGGTATGTTTATAATATTTGATGCAAAATATTCACTAATGTATAAGAATAATCAAATATTCTTCATGATTATATTCATTATATTCGATAGAATAAAATAAATTTTTATGAGATAAAAGAATTGAATGGCTTATTTTAACAATCATTGATATTTATTAAGAATTAAAGAAGCCTATGATAATATTTCAATTATTCTGCTATTTTTTCTTCAATAAGATAAATTATATTGTTTATCATTTATATCATTAAATGATATTTAAAATAAAGTTCAAAAAAAAAAAGACCAATGAACTTTTTCTATATTTTTCAATGTCTAACGATATACCCTTAGATGAACATTATTAAATATAGTTTATCATTAGTAAAATCAGTTCTTTTTTTAAGAATTGACTCCAGAATACGCAAAGAGAAATTAAAGAGTAGCGTATTTCTTTGATTGAATTATAAATAACACGTAACTGAACTTTTCTTTTATTATTGAACCGTTAAATATCATTATTATGCTCGATCTCATCATTTTTTTTCTTTTCTCAACACTTAGGAGACTATATATTCATTTTCTAATTATCTAATCTTCGCAAGTACATAATAAGGAACATGATTTATTTTATGGAGAGCATCTTTGATACAACTTCATATTTTTTTATTGACATGACTAAATTAATAAAACATTGTTCATTATATAAAATTTCATCCTCAACATTTTTTTGACAGAGAATACATGTTCTATTTTGCAACGATGAGTACTGTTCAAATACGGAATCCCTTGTTTTGTAGTTTCAGTCGATCATCTTTGTTCTATTATTTGTTATATAAAAACTATTTTTTTCAAAAGAGAAACAAAACTCATAACGATTAATTTAATTTAATGAAACAATAAAAATTTGGAATACTATTTTTTTATCTATAATCATATTATGTACAATTTTTGGATCCAATATACAGTCAAACTTCTTGCAGTGAATAGTCCTCCTTTATGAACATATTTTTGTGATCCCGTCTGTATGTATTAACCTTGTCAATGTGAATATCAGTCAAAGGTGCTACTTGAATAAAGTATATGATAGAAGCTGTGGAAGTGATTATCTAGAGATTAATTGATTCAATGTTTGAATTCAATGAAAGCGAAAAAGAAAAAAAAAGAGAAAGAATGGATAAATAGATATCGTTCACTTTTTGAACAGTTTCTCAATCAGTGTCTCTCAAACATGGTATCTCACAATGCTCTTGATTTAGAGCGAAAAATGAATTTAATCAAAGATAAAGGACTTGGTTAATCTCATCGTGAATTAAAAAATTTGAATTCAAGTGTCAGTCGATGCTATATCAAATATATTTCAAAAAAAAAAAAGATTATATTACTGATTGTGAAACTAATCTAAACAAAAAAGTGAAGCGCAAGGTGAATCATGACTTTAGTCGAACCATCAATAATAGTGTATAAACCTGATGATTAGTCAGGATCCAGACATGATGTTTGAAATTCATCGAGTTAAAAAATCTAAAGTACTAAAAGTTAAAAACTATTTAACAAAATAATAATAAGCATTTAAAAGGAGGCGATATGAACAAAACAAAAAAACAAAAAAAGCAAAGAATTTACCCTTCGTCACTACTATCTTTAGCATCTCTCAATACATCTATATATCGATGAGAAATACTTCGTAAGAATTTTTTATACGAATGAACAAGATCAAATGTTCACAATTTTTTTGTTTCTTCTTTGTAAATTTTGCCTATCAGCTGATCAGCATCAGCTAATATCAGACGTTTTAATCCAGTTAATATATTTTGTACATTTTTGGCTAGTTTTGGATGATGATTATGACTTGTACCATTGCATTTTAAGATTGCAACGTTTTTTAAAGTAATCACATGAGGACATGATTTAAGTGTACAAACATATATGAATGAACCATTCTGGTTTTCATATTTTAGTCAATATAAAAAATTATTATACAAAACTACTCTTTTGCGTTTTTGACCACGTAAACTTAATATCCATTGTGTCAAATGAAATGTTGCTTTCATTCTCATCATTTTGTATTTGTCATTCATACACAAATTAGGATTCAATTTTGCAATAACTACTTAATTAAAAAGTGACCGCGTTTTGAAAACGCAATATAAACGAAGCAATGAATTTTTACTGGTTCCAAAAAACGGTCATTTTCCACTAATTAGCTTAATTTTTGACTGCAATTAGGAAGCTACGATTCTATCAATATATTTTTTCAATAAATAATGAAGAAAGAAATTTCAATTTTAATACATCTAGTTACATTATCATTATTCTTTGACATTATTTAAATCATAAATTATAAAAATGATTATAAAACATAATTACCAAGGATACTCAAATAGAAAATATATGAGAATGTATTTAAACATAGATTATGATTTACTCTTTTTTGAATAATAACTTATTCATAGCAGAAAAAAACATTAAACTGCATTGGTTTATATAAATGTTGACGTTTCTCGATATTC